GCCGTTTAAAGTAAGTGTAAAAGGAAATCCAGTTTTTACAATGAAGAGAAGCCAGTGAGAATATAGGGTCAGGTAAGGTTAGGGAAATTCATTTTCCACTGAGTCCAATAAAATCAGCCGATACTTTCTTTGTATCGCTCGGTGAGAGTGTAGGGGAAGCCTAAACGAACTCATTGAGTTTAATGACGGCTCGAGGCATTTTACTAGTTCGCATCACTTTTTAGAGTAGGTCGTGTGATGAACTAATCAATTCTCAGATATACGAAACACTGTGATTCTAGCTGACAACGTGAAATCATCCAGTCTGTCTTTCTAGCGTTGTTAATTTCGTTTATCGGCAATGCATATTCGCATAGGTGATATCACTTGAGGAATTCTATAATAAAACTGATAAATAGTGATTGAAATATTCAAATAAGCCACATTGAGTGAACTTATTAAGGCGCAGTAGTAGAAAGTTTTTTTTTCACTATTTTCTTTTTCCGTTGAATCATTTTTTGGTCGCTAGATTTTATACTTCTGCGGTTAATTCATTCACTTATGTATCGATACTGGTCCAGTCTGGAATGGCGCCATATCGTCTTATTCTATGCTATTTCTAGTATCCTCAGTAGAATTTTTTTGGATTTTTGAAGTTATTTTGCTCAGTTTCAGTTCGTTATCAATTCATAACGGTCAAACATTTGGAAACAATGGATGATCAAGAAGAAACCCCAGTTGATTTCGAGTTACTTCTATATGACCATGTTGCTAATGCTGAGCCAAAACTGTTGAATAAGATGTACAGCGCCACGAAACGTGCCTCACTGGAACAGAAAAGGGTTTGTGACTTTTGATTTTTCACTATCTTATCATTTTTCATTCGCATTTTGAGTTAAAGGTCTTTATTTCCCATCCCATTCGCATACTGCGAGAATATCTCGATTGATCCAATCAATGTGCAGTGTCAATTTCTAGCGATCCTCTGGTAAATTCAAGTCACTGAAAGAGGTGGTTGGTGAATACAATAATATAGTCAGTCGAAAAAGGGCAGCAACAGAGTCACCGAATAAAACACCTGCGGCTAAAAGACAATCACGACGTGGTGAAATGGCAGATTCGAGCGATTCATCTGATTCCGATGAGCATCCAGTCAAAATAGCGGCCGTATGTTTTCATTTCCAGTTGCATGATCTCTAGTGGAACTTCTACAGTTGATGAGTCAGGATTTTTGTATTACTTATTAAAATAAATCGATGAATGAGAATTGAAGTTTAAGTATTTTGGTTGTTTGCATTTTGTGACATCCTTTAAGTTTCATTATTTTGGAATTATCAGCCTTTCTTTGCGGTGAATTGTGTACTAAAAATG